ATTATTAATTTTTACCTAAAACTCTTTCTGCAAATTAGTTTCCTGATTTTAAGCAAACGGGTGATAGACTTTCACATGTAATTTCTCACTTATTTGAAAATACTATAAAGTTAGCGGTTATTCCATTTTTCAAGAAACTACAGGATCCATCTATTAACCAAAATCATCCATCAGATGAAACAGATTCAAAATTTTGCCTAGTGCTTAAAAATTAAAACCTTAGATAAACGTAGTATTTTCTATGGTACATGTGAATTAAAAATTAGAATTTTTTTTAATTCAAAATGAAACTGTGTATACAGTTTAAATGTTAAAAAACAGAATTTTTTTAATTCAAAATAAACCTTTTTTGAAAACTGTGTATACAGTTTAAATGTTTAAAAACAGAATCTTTTTACAAGTTGAAATCAAACAATATTCTTACTAATAAAATCCGGGACGGTTATATTATATTAGAAATTAGTTTGAGTGTCAAATATAGTTAGTAAGAGTTTAGAATTAGAAATATTTTTTATAGTTACGACTCAGTTTTATATAAAAGAGTAAATGTATATCCCTTAAACCGTCCCATTCTAGTGTTCAAATTTGATCACTAAAGTAATTTGATGAAAATAGAGCACTGTAAAAATTTATTCTAACAAATCTTTCTTCTAATTGGCTACAAAGACTCCCAGACCTAGCTGTAATGAAATGATTCTAACGAATCCAAAATTATCCAAATTTAATCACAGGATCTTGAGATATTTACATGTTAAATAGTGACACTTCTTCCAATGTAGAACGATTGGTTGGACATAGTATGGACTATATCGATAATTTTAGGTTGTTGGAATCTTCTTATTATAAAGAACATTTTGGTAATAAAGTAGACCAATAAATCAAAGTTATTATTATAAAAATAATATATACAGTATTTATTGTTTTTCCAATTCAGCGATCTTGCCTTTATTATTTAATTGGCAGTACCAGGGTTAGAGTTTATATACTGAGTGAAGTACAGTCAGACCTATCTATAGTCACCCCCTCTATAGTCACATTTGCTTATAATCACATAAATTTTTAAAACCAACTTATATAATACTTATAAAATTCAACCTTTATATAAGCACAAACTCTTTATAATTACCAAATTCTTAAAACCAAGGGTGTAATTATAGAGAGGTTTGACTGTAGTAACTTTCTATACTATAGCCTTATGTTAATAAAAACTCACTTGGCATTAAAGCTTAGGCGTAATCTGCTTAAGCAGCCAATTTGCTTTATGTGGATTTTCAACTTTCTAAGGATTTGGTTTTTTCGATCATTAGCTAGGGCTAGTTAGAACCCCAAATAATC